GTTGCTCAGTGCTCTCCACGCAGAAAAAATGCCTACTATGAAAGTTCCCCTCCGCCAGTACAATTCTGGATTTTTTTGGGTACCCCTGCGTATTTAATGACTGAATTGTACACTTGAAAATGACTTAGATGATGAACTTTTTGTTTTATGTGTATGTATACTTAACACACATACACAGGCAATGAGAGTACATACTTTGTTTGGAATGGCACGTCAGGTTCAGACAACTTTAAATATAGCTCAGATTTTGATAGCTGTTGCCAAGGTTGTGGTTCTTGGAGAACAAATCAAGTTAAGCAATTCTCTAGGGAGGAAACATTTAGTTTTCTGGGTCTGCAGTTTTAGTAGTAGCCAGCCAAATGATCCATCGGCAGGATGCAGGTTTTTTTTCCCTCACTGACTTGACTTTTTAGATTCACGAGTTCACTATGCTTCAAAAACACTTATGTTTCATTTTTCTAGAATTGATTTTTCAGCTCTGGATTGTTTCCATCTACTAAGCATATCACTTTACACATCAAGTTCCATCTAGTGGTGAAAGTAATAATTGCAGGCTACACGTGGGCTCTAGCAATTCCCTCTCGGGCCCCCACCTTTTCTCTCCTTTTTATTACGAAACTTTTCACACATAGGCAACAGTGGAATGAATATTACAATGAAAACTCATTTTCTCAATACTTAGATGCTCCAGTTAACATTTCCCCACACTTGCTTCAGTTATACGTGTGCATAAAAATACTTTTGAAAAAATGAGAAGCTAATACCAAGGGCTCAAGTAGAAATGTTTTGAGAATGATGATGGCAACAAATGTACAAATGTGCTAGACACAGTGGATGTACGGATGGACTGTGATAAGAGTTCTCTTTGCGGGATAGGAAGTTTTGAGTACTTGCGGGTCATAGCCAAGGGCATGCATTTAAAGCTGGAGCTCCTGCTCTCAACCAAGTCTCGTGCGTCTCGTCATCGACACAGAAAGTTTCAGGATGAAGACGTGGACCTTTAGTGTAGACTTTGATTTTTAATGCTATTTACATTAAGTTGTAACATGAGTCAGGTCCAAACTAACTGGTTCCTTTCTTTTTTCTGTTTTAAAAATATGTTGACTATACATACAGGTAAGCTTATAAGCTAATAGAAATTAGGCTTTTGTCCATCAATCAGCTTTAACACATCTTAACACGTTGCCTTAATTGTTTCAAATCCCACTTTCTTCCCATACCTCAGGGAGAAAGAGGAGGCTTCTACTCCCTGAACGAGTTACAGTCTGGGAAGCCACAGGGGCCGTTCTCTGTGCTATAGGGTCACTACTGCCAGTCAGAATTGGCTCAAGTGCCATGAGTTCGGTTTTGGCCCTATCCCTAAGGATTTTTCACAAGATCATTGGTATCACCCCCAGAAAATTCCTTCCTTCTCCTAACCACTTACCTCCCAAGGTAACCATTATTTCAGCTTTTATGGTAAATATATCTTTGTCTCTTTACAATTTTAACATTGGGTGATGTCAACAGTTAAGCACTGGACTACCAGCTGAACAGTCGGTGGTTCAAATCTCCCCAGACTCCTCAGAAAGCAGCTCTGGTAATCTGCTTCTGAAAGCTCATAGCTCCGAAAACCTCATGGAGAGTTTTAAAACAGACAGACAAACCAAAAACCCAACAACAACAAGAAAATAAAACATAGAAAAACCTCAGCCCTCAAGAAGGCAGAATAGAAACTAGAACAAATGGTCAAAAAGGAAAAGCATGGTAAGATGTTGAGTTTCAAGCCACTGTATACAGGGAGAGGCAGGGAGATGGGTGAGCTTCAGTGGATGCGGGAGGAGCATTTGAACTGATTGTGATGGTATATATGCAGCTCTTTTTGGAAGTGGTTAGCTCTGGAAATGTATGATATATGAATATTATATATCAAGAAAAGTACTGGAAAAGAAAAGAGACCAAACTTGGCATAGGTTCCATGGATGAAGGAGGGAGAGTAGTTGCTTAGGGGCACTGAGTTCTTTTTAATGGTGGCGGAACCATTTGGAAAAGGATATCAATAATGGTCGTGCAACATAAAGAGTGTAATCAGCGACACTGCATTATACATGTAGAAGTTGTTGAATCGGTGAATGTTTTGTTGTGTACACTTTTGCCAAAATGGAAAAAAAATATAAATAACAATGAGTATGAGGAAAGGAACATGTTCTAAAATTGATTGTGGTAAGGATTATACAAATCTCTTAATATGGTTGAACTATTGAATTACATGATATGTGGATGAAGTGCTAATTAAACTTTTTTTTCTCTTAAGCCAACTGTATCTCCAGTAATCCACTTTTCAGTTCACTCTGTGAGTGGACAAGACTGTCCATACTCATGGTCAGCCGTCTAAGGAAGCTCAATAGAAGCTTAATCCTTGTGGGGACTCTGCCAGTGGATTTTAGGCTCTCTCTGTCATCTGTAACTGTCTGCTGAGTGCTCAGAATTGGAGGTCTAGTACAATTTACTTCCTCTGATCTTGAATTTGATTATTTACAATCCTGGGGTCACACAAGCTGGTGTGCTCCTTCCATGTGGACTTAGCTGACCATTCACTTAGATAGCTGCTTTTTTTAAGACAAGCCTTCAAGACCCCAAATGCTTTTCTAATAGCCAGGCACCATCTGATTTCCTTACCACACTTTGCCTATAACACCCACATCTTCAGTGATTACCTCATGACACAAGTACTGAGCAGGGCTACATAGTAAGAACTAATTGTTCGTAGATTTGGGTTTACGATTAAGTGCAAGGTCAACATCAATATCTAAAGTTTATATATTGATCTACTTTAGAGGTAGCACTATCAACTTGTTGAGAAATAATTTAAGTAATTTCCATGAGACATTTGATAATTCCAATAGTAGTATCATTAATCTAGCCAGTGGTATAGATTTTAAAGTATTATTGAGAAAAGGAAAATGTACATATATAGGAAAGCTTTTTAGACTAACAGACATGGGATGGAGATGTGGTTTTTGTTTTTCAGCCAGCTATACTCCCACAGAAACAAAAGGTGGTGACTTCTGGCACATCCTCTACTAAGGTAGAGACTTAGAATATATCTCCTCTTAATCTTGTCTATTAGCACAGCAGACAATTTCCTCCAAAGTGGGATTTTAACCATAGAAACAGAGGCTAGAATTTATACTGCATCACATAAGGGATCTGGCAAGAAGGGCCATGTTAATTGACCCACATCTCAATCACTTAGTGAAAAAGACAGCCATTCCCATTGATTTGCAGTACCGCTGTTTTCCTAAATGCAGTATAGAAGGTAGAGAGAAGAAAATAACAAAGATAATAGCGGAAGTTAAGAAAGGGAGTAAACAGGCTTACGATAGGAGATTCAATAAAGCCAAATGGTAAGGCCTGGAGAAAACTAATAAAATCGATAAAACCTCTGATAAGACTTATAAATAAAAAATGAAAACAAGTTACCAATATCAGGAACAAAGAGTAGGGCATTCACACAGAACTAGAGATATTAAAATGAAACAAAATTCATAAGGGAATATAATAAAAAACTTTATCCCAATAAAGTTTGAAACTGTAGGTGAAATAGATTTTTAGAAATAAGCACCTTGCCAAAATTAATATAAGAAGAAATACAATATTTGAATGGTCCAATACACAAAAGAAATGGAAATATAATTAAAAATGTTGCCACAATGAATACTTTCATTTCAGATGGTTTCATCAGCCAATTTGATCAAACATTTAAGGAAGGAGCAACACCAATCTTATATGAACTTTTCTGTAAAGTAGAATAAGACTTGTTCTCTAAGTAACTTTATAAGGCCAGCATGCTCTTGATATAAAACCTAATGAAGATATTACAAGAAAGGAAAGTTTCAGGCTAGTGTCACTTGGGAGCATTTATGGAGAATTATAAACAAACTTAAACCACAACAATATATAGAGATGGTAATATATTTTAACACAGTCTGGTTTATCCTTGAAATAAAAATTATGTTCATGCTTTTAAATAAGTGAATAAGTCCTTAGGAACCAATGAATAAAAAGGCATTATCTGGATCTAATAATTTTTACCAGTATGACAGGTCAGGGAAAGTTATCTTACTGCTTTTTTATTTGCGTTACCCTGATAACTTGTGGGGCTGAGCTGGTTTTCATATGCTTATTTGTTAACCAGACCTTCTTCTATGAATAACTGTCCTTTGCCTGTTTTCTTCTGAGTTGAATGGACTGATAGATTCTGGTTATAAATTTCTTGTTAGTTATATGTATGCCTTTTTCCAGTCTATAGCTTTCCTTTTGTGGTTTCGTTTTAAGCTTGAATTTATTTGTTAATTATGAATGTGTAGTATGTTCACTTGGTTAAAATATTCAGAAAATACAAGAGAGCATGTAATGAGAGGTTGCGCTTATATTTCTATACCTCTTTTACTCAGTTACCCTCCACAGGTTTGTTTGTTTTTTTACTTTTTTGTTTATACATTTTGTTGTAAAGAAGTTTTACATTTTAATGCAGTTAAATACAACAAGTTTTTCTTCATGGATTGTGCTTTTTAGTGTCTTGTTTAAGAAACTGTTCCTTTGCCTTATTAATTTTTTCTTCTTCATTGTTTTTTAAACGTTTTAAAGTTTGATTTTTCACCTTTAGAGCTTTGTTCTGCCTGAAATTTATTTTTTATGTATGATGTGAGGTAGGGATTATTCCTCTTCCCCATATTATAAAACTATGTGTGCTTAGGCTCTTACATTATGCCTCAATTAATACAGCTTTCTGAACTTCATCTACATGTTGGCAAATAAAATTAATTGGTCTCATTTTTAATTTCTGCTTTGTTCCTACTTGTAGATAAGTACTGAGAGTCATAATAACCACTGCCTTTCAGTCCCATAATGTGCCCTTGTGCCCTCTAACGTGTCTGGAATTCGTGTAGGCTGTGCTGGGGCAGGACAAGAGGGTTTCTTTGTCACAACCAGCAAGGAGAAACCTTTTTCCCCTGTCTCTTCGGTGTACCAATGCCTCGTCAGAAGCTTTCAGCACTTATGTAAGAAACTTACTCATTTTCTTTAACTTGAGCAGATGTAGTTTGTTTTAAAATAAGATATTTTAGAGTTGGAAATTGCTCTTGTTTAAATGTAGTATTTTTTCCCTAGTCCTAATCAGAGACTCGTAATACTAAAACAAAGTCTTCAAGTTCTTAAATGTGTTTCTTGATGTATAAGTAGCTACTCTTTAGAAAGGGGTTGATGGGCTTCATGATACAGACATAACTGAAACAACAGCGAAACACTATCTTTCCCATTTCTCATCTTCTGTGTCACTGTGTTTTAACCCTTTCCCATCTTGGATAATATCGTACTCAGTGTTGTCCACTCAGGAAGAGTGAGGAACTAGCTGAAAGAAATAAAAGTGGAGCAAACAAAAGGAGGAAAGAACAGGGGAAGGAAGGAGAGACAAAAGCAGTGAGGAGAAGCAGCAGGCTGCAGCCGTGCTTGTGTGTGCTGAGACTCCCAAGCTATCTCTTCCTGTGTTCTTTGTCCGTAGCTAGGGCAGCAGCCCCCTGCTGATTCTTCTCTCTGTGCCCCACCTGTGTGGGAGCTGGTGGGCTTGGGCGTGATGGCTAGATAGGAAGGATTCTGTTAAGAAACAAGGCTTTGTGTTTCCTGATCTGTTTCACCTATGTGCAGACCTAGCTAAGTGCCGAAGGATCAACTGGTGTAAGTTTTAGAAGTGTAACTGAGTCTCGTTCAGTATGTTAATCAAATAAAGGTGTGTGGGTTTTTAAAAAAATCATTTTATTGGGGGCTCGTACAACAATGATCACAATCCATACATACATCCTTTGTGTCAAGCACATTTGTACATTTGTTGCCCTCATCATTCTCAAGGGTGTGTGGGTTTTATGTGTGTCTTTCTATGTCAGAAATATAATGGATACTGTTCATGTACACTACATTTTAAACTTTCTTTGATCTGAAATAAAAATCTATTCAGAATTAATAATGATATAAATTCCATAAGATTATTTAGACTAGATAAATTACCAGACATTCTGGTACTAACATATATCATGACTTTTTGTCTGTAGTGTAGTCATTTCTCAGTGGTGGTGATTATAAATAATAGTTCTACAGGGACGTTTTAAAAAAATTTATAAGCTGATATGAAAAAATGACTTGTCAACTTTTAGGATGAAGTCACTTCTAATTCGAATTGGTTTTAATTATAATCACTGGCATCTTTTAGTTTATACAGGAGTAAAACCTATCTTTGTGTGGAGAAAGACTGACAAGATGAATATTTTAACTTCCTTTTCCTTAGTGACTGGCCTGAGTACACACATTCATTGTTTTACATGAGTTTTCATGGTACCTTATCATTTTAGATAGAAAAAGGGAAAAAAAAGAATCTAGTAACCACCAATTAAAGATTGGGCCATTGATTAAAATTATGTAATCATTTCTAAGAAAGTGGTGCTAAACTTTAAAGTTTACCCAAGCCTGGCTTTAATGATACCATTATTTAAGAAGTGTCTCCATATTATTGGCAAAGTGTGTTTAGATGAGTTATAATAGAGGTTTCGTGTTTCCTGGAATAATGTGTTATCTAGGGTGTAGTAGTGGACATATGTCCAGGTTGTGATTGTTTTTATTGTGGGAATGTTTGTGAGTCAGGTGAACCTCGGCTTTGCCTGACTGACTTGCCCCTGCTGACTTGTGTTGTGTTCATTGGTTTTATAATAAGTGACTGTTTATATAAGAATTAGAACAAGCCATTAGAGTTAATGTATAATGGATAAAAGCAAGTGGTTTGTCTGCTACAAGAGATGGAGTAATATACCATGTATACTCAAGTATAAGCCTACCTGAATATCAGCTGCGGCACCTAATTTTACCATAAAAACAGCATTAAAAATGTACTGAAAAACTTGGCTTATACATGCGCGTATACGATAGTACATATACATGCAACGCTTTCTTAAAAGTAAGTAAAAAGGGACAGACTAGGCAGGGTTGGGAGTCAGCGGAGAGGGAAGAGTGTCTTTTTGAGAGTCAGAGGAGCTCCGCGAGGAGGGTAGCCCCACAGTATCGGAGTAAGACTGTGGACCAGTAGAACACATCTAGTCAGTATCACTTAGTGACAGAGCAAACGTAGAAGCAAACACTGTTTTTTTCCATGTGTCTTCGAGAGAAGACCTTGTCCAAGCAAAGGGTGGTCTTAGTTGATGGGTCAGAGGCGTCCAGAATTGAAGGATGTTATTTTTTCTAATATAACCCATTTCTGAACCTAAAAGCAAATCAGTCTCTACTTTACACACCTGTGTAAAGATGAAGGCTTTCTGGTTATGAGGAACAGAATCCAAGGGCAGCTAGCTAGCTCCATGAAAGGAAGCATTGACCCACGTGAGGACCCAAGGACCAAAGGCAGCCGGCTAGGGGTAGGATCGACTGTCTCCAAACTGTCAATTACACACTTCTTAATGAACTGTAGTCCCATGCTGACTGTAGAGAGGTTGCTGTGACTCCTGGTGGGGGGTGAAGGTCATGCTGTCCAAAGATTAGCATTGCATGGCACATCCTGACTACTGCTACTGGTATTCCCTAGAAGGTCCAAATTGTGAAAGATTACCCAGTGCTGTGCCAGGACTCAGACATTTTATCAGGAATTGGCTGGTTTAGTAGGAAATGTGGTCTGTGTGCAGGGCTTTAGACTGATTCATTCGGGTTTGATGTCCCACTGAGAATTTGCCTTCCCACTCTATAGATAGACTGCCTCAGAAGCTACATTGTAATAATCTCATCAGTTGATTCTTATATTTAAGAATATTATTAAAATCTTGATTGCTATGCAGCATATTTGAGATAAAACTTAAAAAACAACAACCAACCAACAAACTCAACTGCCATTACATCCATTCTGACTAATAGAGAGCCTGTAGGACAGGGCAGATCTGCCCCTGTGGGTTTCCGAGACTGTAGCTCTTTACGGGAGTAGAAAGCCTTGTCTTTCTCCCGCAGAGCCCTTGGTGGTTTCGAACTGCCACCATTGGGATGTGACCTATTACAACACCAGGGCTGCCAGCTGCGATAGAAAGGCCCATTCTCAACAGCAGGTCAAACAGGAGCAAACCAGGTGGAAGCCCAGGCTGTGACTGTGTGGCTACCAGTTCCAATGTAGGCTTGGACCTGGCAGTCTTCGGTGAATTTTGTCTTCCTAGGGTGCATGCCTAAAGTCGTATCTAGAGTTTATGGTTCTTTGGTCTTTTCATAAAAGAACTCCTAAGTATCTTTTATTAAGGTGGCTACAACCTAAACAACAACAAGCCCAAAGTGACTTCTTTTTTGCAGTCAGCAGATTAAGAATTAGGTTTATATAATTATATGGTTGAGAAGGCATGAGAAACACGCACACATATAATCCCCCCCAAGACTCCCTCCTCCCTGTGCCCTTTTTTTCAGAGGCGCCGTCTGCAGTTTTGTTACCTGCAGTGACTCTTCCCTCCGAGGTCAGCCTACCATCTTCAACCCTGACTTCTTTGTGGAGAAGCTCCGGCATGAGAAACCCGAGGTGTTCACCGAGTTGGTGGTCAGCAATGTCACAAGGCTCATTGATTTACCTGGAACGGAGTTGGCTCAGCTGATGGGGGAAGTGGACCCTAAGTTGCCTGGCGGGGCTGGCTCAGCGCCCGGCTTCTTCCGGTCTCTCATGTCTCTCAAACGAAAAGGTAAGGGACTCTCGGTGACAGTGGGCGGGCCTCAGCTGCTCTCTGGCTTCCCTCTCAGCTCTACACATTCTCTCTTTTTCCTGCACATTCTTATCAGAGGAGTCACTCTAGCAGGAAACTTTATGAGTCAATTAGCCCTTTTTTTCTAAGTAGGAATAGTAATAAAAATGATAAAAAAAAACTCGTGGCCCACCAAGCCCCGAGGGTGATATTCCTTCTCAGACATCCAGTGTACAGAGAGGACCATGGGGCCAGCCCCACCCTGAGACACCATGTCCCTCACTGACCCATAATATCACAGGGGACAACACTGGAGGCACTGCAGTGCTGGAATTGTGCCTGATCTGACCCCACCACACCAGGGTGAAACACTAAGGGCATGCGACAGAGCAGCAAGGGGAGCAGAGCAATGAAGTCCCCAGGGAACACCAAAACTAGACCTTGGGGCCAGGGCATGGCACCCCATCAGACTCGACTGGAAAGCACTCCTAAAGGTCAGCAAACAGACCTGGAATTATTTATAGCCTTTTCCTTTTTGTCCTTGGTTTTGTTGTTGTTTTATTTTGCTCTGTCTTGTTTTTGTGCTTATAATTGTCTCTGCATGTCTATCTAGATAAGATAGACGAGATAAACCATCAGGAGGCAAGGAAGAGAAGAGCCAGCACCGATGAGACACAACTTTCCTCTAGTTCTTTAATGCTCCCCCCCCCCCCCCACTATCATGGCCTCAATTCTACCTTACAAATCTAGCTAGACCAGAGCATGTGCATTGGTACAGATAAGAGCTTGAAACACGGAATCCAGGACAGATAAACCCCTCAGGACCAATAATGAGAGTAGTGATACCAGGAGGGTAAGGGTAAGGTGGGGGGAGAAAGGGGGAACCGATCACAGTGATCTACATATAACCCCCTCCCTGGGGGATGGACAACAGAAAAGTGGGTGAAGGGACAAATTGGTTAGTGTAATACATGAAAAATAATGATAAATTATCAAGGGTTCATGAGGGAGGGAGGGTGGGGGAGGAGGAAAATGAGCTGATACCAAGTGCTCAAGTAGAAAGAAAATGTTTTGAAAATGATGATGGCAACATATGTACAAATGTGTGTGACACAATGTATGTATGTATTGTGATAAGAGCTGTAAGAGCCCTCAATAAAATGATTTAAAAAATGATAAAAACTATCTAAATAAAAAAGAAATTAAGCCCCAGCAAATATATTCAGCCTCCAAGAGATAAAATGATTGGGTGGTTATCAAGGCCACCTTTATTTTATGTCTTATTAATAGTGTGGTAAAGTATTTACAACAAAAGTTACACAACTGAAGAGTGTGGTACATGAAGCGTGGATATTTTTTAATTGCAATGATTCTCAGCTGTTTGCATTCCATGGAATGATTTGGTAAGGCAGATTCCTACAGGAATCACTGTGCCCATCCCCCAAACCTTCCCAGGAAATGAAGAAATTATAGTACCATTTGGATCTATTTTATTTTCTTAAATATAAAGAAAGTATTAAGATAGGAAAGAAAGTTAAAGTATTAGAACAGATGAGACCTGGTGCCAACTGTGGTGGGGTCCTCTGTGATGCTTTGACAGTTAAGGCTCTTAAGTTCTGGTTTTTGTTTTATTTTAAATTAAATATCAGCATGCTAGTGGTAGGTTTTGTGTGGGTTGTTACAATCTTGGGAACCCACAGGGCCAGTTCCACCCTGTCCTGCAGGGTCAGAATTGACTCAATGGGAGAGAGTTTGAGTTTATGTTTTGAGTCATTGCTACTGAAAGCAATGCCATTCCCTCAAAGGCGCCTTTCTCTAGCAGTGGTCTTGGAGAGAGATGTTGAGAGTTCTAGTTGCATTTTCTAGTGCACTTTATGGTTTTTGTTTTCTGACTGTGCAAACATTTGCTGAAATGTAAAACAGGATGTTTCAAGTGGATTTAAGGGGAATGAATTTGTACTGTTTGCGTAAAACATAGCCCTGGCCTACCATGTTTTTTTTTTTTTTTTCTTTTCAGAAAAAGGAGTGGTGTTTGGATCTCCACTGACAGAGGAAGGCATTGCCCAGATATACCAACTGATTGAGTATCTACACAAAAGTAAGACAGCTAGACAGGCTGTTCTTTTGTTTTATGAAAATGGTCAGTTTTCTAGTGAGAGGTAACTGCTCTAAGTTAAGAATGTAGGTGATGTTTACCCATTAACAAAAGAAACTGACCAGCAGTAATTCCAGGTGGAGTATTTCTAAATGTTTTCTTTTTAATTTTATTTCATGTGTGATTTGCTTTCTAAAAGAGGTATATAAATTAGATAGTGCTTAAAAAGCCAAATTTTCTCCGTAACTCAGAAAGGTATTTGTTTTGGAAAAATGCCATATTCCTGAAGAATTGTAACAAAACTCAAGGGAGCATGATTCAGCCCCAAAGATACGGATGTGCTTTACATCTCCAAAACCACAGGACTAGAACGCATTGGCCATTTAATTCCAGCTTCCCGTCTTGGTGGCTACGTCATTGCTCCAGGTGCTTGCTTTGCACAGCTGAGTGTGTGTAAAATGTGTGGCCTCCTCGGGTGCTGAAATGGAAGAGAATGCTTTCTCTGATAAATTCAGCACAAACACCAACGATGGCATAGTCTATGCGCTATGGGAATAGAGGTTGCACATGGCAGCCCAAGCGCTGGAGCCATCTGCATTCATGGTTTGTTTGGTTTGTAAAAGGCCCAAACCAAGCCGAGTTATCAGTGTTTTAAAATGGGGAGAGTCCAGGTGTTCCGCCTCTCTGGGTGGTAGGAAGATCAACTGGAATGCCGGGCTCTCCACTTTGCTAAGGTGCCTATTTGTTCGTTTACTATTAGAGAAATGCTCACCAGGTGTTTGAATTAGGGAGTTAATCCAAGATAAGTGTGTACCTGCACTGTCAATAGGAGCTTGAATTCTTCCAGATCAGATCCAAATTGTACTTCCGACCCTTTTTTAACCCCTTAGGTTGGGGAAAGAATAGTTTCATTGGAGTAGCACTAAGCTTCTGGGACTCTGTTAGACTGAGAGGTGATCTGACAGGTCAGAGTTCTAATTCCTGGAGCAGTGCAGAAGGGCTTGATTCATTACCATTCTGGAGGAGAGTTTATAGACTCAGCAAGCCACTACAGGTGCACTTGGCTCCTCCTAAGACAGTCTGGGACTGGTAAGAGAAAGGGCCTTTAGGGAGATTTGGCTTTTCCCCCAGCTTACTTTTCAAGCTCATTCTAACCCTTGTTTAGGTTTAATTCAGTCATCATGTGTACCTGAAGAGGTTGACTGACGTTGTCCTTTAGTCTGGGAGACCTGCAGGTGCTCACGGAGGGCCAGATATGTCCCCCAAAGAACTCTGGGGGGAAAAGCGAAAACCTCTCAAGGCTTTTGTAAAGGAGTCCTGATGGAACAGTGGGTTAAGCACAGCAGTGTTAAGATTGACATTTGGAACTTGCCAGCTGCTCCTTGGGAGAAAGATGAGGCTGTTTGCTCCAGTAGAAACCCTACGGAGCAGTCACCATGAGTCAGAGTTAACTCACTGGCAGTGGGTAAGGCTTTGGCAAAGGGCTTTTTCAGTGTAAAGTTGCTTGGGTGGCGCTGTGGGGAAGCTTTGCACTGCTAGCCTCTAGGTGGGCAGTTTAAACCCACCAGCCACCTGGGGGAACAAAGCCAAGGTCATCTGCTCCTGTAAAGATGGACAGCCATGGAAACTCCAATGGGGTTGCTCTGAGTTGGAATCCACTCGATGGCAGTGGGGTTTGGTTTTATTTTAACACTATTTATCCCTTTACTTCTTTTTATTTTCATTTCATGCTAAACAGACTTGCGAGTGGAGGGTTTATTCCGAGTACCAGGAAATAGTGTCCGGCAACAGATTTTAAGGGATGCTCTCAATAATGGGAGTGATATTGACTTGGAATCAGGGGTGTTTCACTCAAATGACATTGCCACCTTGCTGAAGATGTTCCTAGGAGAGTTACCGGAGCCGCTGCTGACACATAAACATTTCCATGCACACCTCAAAATTGCTGGTGAGTATAGAAATTGAGATGGTAGCTGCGTAAATGCTTCCCCCCCCAACCCAATTTTGTAAAGTCCTTTGGAATTTTCTGTTGCTTGTGACCCACAGCAATACTTGTATTAACATTATTTTAGACTCTATGGCATTTTGAGACTCTTTGGGGATTTGTAAGCTTTGGCCAGTTAAGTTTGGTTTTTGTTTTTCTTGCTAAATAAGATTCTTTTAAAATAAGGTGTGTACTTTCTTTTTTTCCTGATTATTTGCATAGATGCTTGGTAAATTTGGATTGGATGGCAGGCTTTAGAAATTTTATCTGGTTAGATAAGGCTTTATTTGTATGCTTATAGATAATCCTTTTTTTTTTTTTAATGTTTGAAGTGAACTTGAACTTCTGTGTCCCTAAAGGTTCCAAGTCCACTTCAGTTTTACTGTCCCTCCTTTTGTAGCCATCAGACCAGTATTTAGATCCGAGGGCTAAGAAATCTGGAGGGTTTTATTTTTCCCCCCAAAGCAATTTTTATTTTATTCTTTTTTTTTTTAAAGTTAGACCCTCCATTTTTGCTTATACACATTCTTGAACTTAGATCTGGGATGTAGTAAAGTTGTATGGAGTTAGTTTACCCCTTTCAAGCTTGCCTTTAAGATTTTTTAGGCAAGAATAGAAAAGCATATAGTCACATTTTGCCTCAATAATTGAAACAGTACTTCTCTGAATACTGAAATCCCAGAGAAGAACGAGATGTTAAATCTTGTCTAATGTGATCAGTAGCTATTCTGGGCCTGTGTAACTCTAGCTGCTCTTGCCTCTATTCCTATTTATCCATCTCTTTATCTATCTACCGTCCTTTATTTTTGTTTTTGATTTATTTTCTAGTTACCCCTCATTTATTTATTTTTGTAGCCTGATGGACCCATACTGAATATTCTGAATATTGCCATTGTTTAATAAATGTCTGCTGTTCAGTGATCGATGCACATACATGCTGATAGGTTTGACAGATTAACCTTGGTTTGCTAATAAGTACTATCATGTTTCATTTGAATTCATCTCTACTTTTGGAAATCAGTTTTTTAAAACTATTTCAACAGCATTGTTTGCATGTACAATTCAGTCACATTAATTACATTCGTCATATTGTGCAGCCATCACCACGCTGCCTTTGCAAATTGGAAATTCCTTTAAAAAATAGTGTTCTTTGTTTTCTGAGAAGGCAGCACATTCACAGGGCTCAAAATTCAAAAGACTCCAAAGAATGTACAATGGAAAGCTTCCCTTCTGCCTCAGCTCTGAGTTCTTCCCAGTGACTCCTCATTCATACACTTCAAAAGCTTTTATATACTTAGAAAATACTTACCTATAGTATTTACCCCCCTCTTTTTATGTAATGGTAGGGCATTATACACATGGTCTTGTGGCTTGCTTTTTTCACTTAATGTATCTCACGATTGTTCCCTGTTGCAGCTCATAAATGATTTCCTCGTTCGCTCTTGTGCTCGCCTGGCAGGGAAGTCATTCTTCAATCGCACAGCTTTATGCGGCCATCAGCTCTTAAGTGCATGCAGCGTCCACATCCATGCTGCTTCTACTGTGCTTGCTGCCCTGAGTCTTTCCTTTCCGCTGTCTTCTAATTTTAGGGAAGAACATAGTTTTTTCTTTTGGATACTTTTTATTGCCATTTAAAAATCAGCTTTTAAAAACAAAACAAACTCAACTAGGTTTGATTTTCTAAAGTCTAAAACGATCAGACAGACTATGTTTTAGCTTTTGCAATAGCAGTCCATATAATACAAATGAATAGATATTGCTAGAATGTTATATATAATTTTGCTATTATTTTTGGGAGAAATTAATTGATATCTTTGTTGAAAAAAATGTTTCCACCTTTTTTTCTTGAGAAACTTTTTTCCCTAAGTGTTAGCAGGAAGGGTTCTTGCTCTTTGTTTTCCTGTTGAGTTCATTTGGCGCAGCAGTGAGAGCCCTCCTCTCCCTTGCCCCGTGGCGCCCTGCCCTTTGAACTCATATTGAGGTGGGGCACAGCCGTGGCATTTGGTTTGCCTTGTTGATATCTGGGAGGAGTGTTTAGTTTCATTTTATCTTAACAGGGAACATTTTCAAGAAATATCACCTGACATTCTTAAACCTGGAATTAAAAAAAACTTTGAATTATTATTGAGATTAAGGAGCTTAGCCAGCACACTAAAATCATTTTTAGGTCTATAAGAGAGCTTCAAAAAGTTTGCAGGAAAATTCCTTTGTCTTTTAATTCCATATTTCCGTGAACTTTCTGAAGCTTTTCATAAATACAGGTATACCCTACATTCTGAGTGTCTGGAGACTTTATTGATAACCTCGATACCCTGTAAGAGAGAAACAGTGATTCTGCCTATAGAGGCTGTGTCTGGACAATTCTGCTGTCAAGGCAGGATGTACTCTCATTTTTCTTTCAGCAGGAGAATATATGGTTGGGGAAGAGTGTGGAGGGTGGAATTGCTAAAATGAAAAAGGTAATTAGTATTATGTTCCTAAAGCAAAATTGCACTGTGGCCTTACTTGCCATAAAATCAGATATGGCTATGTGAAAACAGCTAGTTCATAGAATCTAGTCCAAGTGTTTTACGTGGATGGCTGTTTCAAGTTTTTTCTTTATACTTCTGAATTATTGACTTCATAGATGACCTTTTGCATGTATAAGAGGAAGGTCCGTCTTGTGCGTGAATGATTGACATTGGTCATAATGAATGCTGGGGGACGAGGTGAGAGGAAAGCTGGCTGTGATGGCGAAGCTAAGTGTCACCTCGGTTGGGTCATGATTCCTAGTGATTTGGCAGTTGTGTACTGGTATAATGTAGCAGTTTAGCAATGTAGTCACCCTTGTGAGCTGATGTGGGCATCCTCTATCTTTCATATTATGCCAATTTTCAGATGAAGACCTGGTCAATATGCAATATATGTCAATAAGCAATGGGTAGGGTGTACATAGAAAATATAACTCATATGGCATAAAATTCACTCCATTGAAATGGTTTTTAGTATAGTTACAGAATTGTCCCACAGCCAACACTAATTCCAGAATATCCATCCATCCCAAAAGAAATCTCTTATTCATCAGTAGGCACCCCCCCCCCCCATTTCTCTCTACCCCAGACTACTTTCTGTCTCTCTGGAACTGCCTACTTATTCTGGACGTTTCATACAAATGCAGTCATACGCTGCATTGTTTTGGCATGCCTGACATTAATTTAGCACCATCTCAGGGTGATCCATGTTGTGTACACTGGTACATCATTTCTTTTCATGACTGCATCGTTTGGTATGCTACATTGTGTGTGTCCACTTATCAGTTGACGAGCATTTGGGTTGTTTCTACATTTTAGCTATCATAACAAGGCTGCTGTGAAGACTTGGGTGCACGTTTTCTGTGAATATGCTCCTATCTTTTTTGGATACATACCCAGGAGTAGAATTGCTGGGTCATATAGGAACTATAAGGAGTTCTGGTGGTGTTGTAGGGTAGACAATGAACTGCTAACTGCAAGGTCATCGGTTCAAATCCACAACTGCATCTTGAGGAAAAGATGAGGCTGTTTACCTTCATAAACATTTATAACCCTGGAAACCCATGTAGGGTGGTGATGCTTCAGAACTGGTTCAGTGGCAATGAGCTTTTGGATTTGGGGGAGCTACCTGTGCAACCTTTTCCACCGCAGCCGCACTGTTTCACATTCCTACCAATTGTGGAGGAGGGCTCTGTTTCCTCCACTCTCTCATTCTCCCACTGCTTGCTCATTCAGTCTAGTTTTTCATTTTTATTTTTAAATAGCCTTCCTAGCCTTGTGATCTCATTATGGTTTTGACTTCCAGTAGCCTCATGACTAATAATGTTGAACATCTTTTCATGTGCTTATTGACCATTTGTATAATTTTTGGGGAGAAATGTCCATGCAGATCCTTTGTTCATTTATAAATTGAGTTATTTTGGCCTTTAACAGTTGAGTTAAACTGATACTGTTTTACTATCATATTTTGCTGGAATTAAAAATTTTGTATCTCTTTTTTTTTCTTTTTCTATTGGGAGCTGAGGGAGGGTGATAGAAGTAGGAGCACAATTCCTACCCTCCTTTGTTACTTTCCCCCACCTCTGCCATCCTCTTTTTGGTTCTTGTTCTAGATCTGATGCAATTTGATGATAAAGGCAACAAGACCAGTGTTCCCGATAAGGAGCGGCAAATTGAGGCCCTTCAGTTGCTCTTTCTCATCCTCCCACCGCCCAATCGTAACTTGCTGAAGCTATTGCTAGATCTCTTGTACCAGACAGCCAAAAAACAAGACAAGAATAAGATGTCTGCCTATAACCTTGCACTTATGTTTGCACCCCATGTCCTGTGGCCCAAAAATGTGAGTACTGGAAGACAAGAGGGAAGAGTAAAGCCCGCGGGCCATTCTTGGCTGGGCCTCAGCCTGTGGCCACCCCTGGGTGAGGTGATCCCGGTCCAGAGTCTAGTGTTGAGCTTTATGAGGTTCATCCCCGAGTGAGCAAACTTGGGGGTGCCCATTCTTAGTAAATTAACTTGTAAATCATTCTGATAAGCCTGAATGCAACGACCATTTATTAGTAGAAACTCTGTGGAGAAGGATAGTTTAATTACTAACTAAACTAGAGTGTTCGTTGTTTTTTTTGTTTATTTTTGGGGGGGCCTTCTTTGGGTGCATTCCTTCTGAAGAGGAAAACCTTCTTAGAAACTCTAATTTCTGAAAGTTGCATGATGAGTTTACACTCAGCATAGAGAGAGCTTCATGAGGACCCTACTGCCTTGTCCTTGCTTCTGTTTCCCACGGTCCAGGCTCCCTGGATAGAGCTGCACGTCTTTCTTTTTACTAAGATTGTGGTCTTCGCAGTGACTTCCAGGAGCAATAGATCCTCTCAAATGACTTCTTAGCGTAGATGCACATAACATCATTTCCTTGCCCATTCATACCTGTGCCATGGAACTGAGAGCCAGGGTGCTAAGGGTGGGAGCAAAAAACAGCTCTGTGACCTTTGTCCTGTACTGTGGTTGAAAGGGGTACCAGCCCCCCACCACTAATCACGGGTTTGATAGGCACAATTGTACGTTTGAGATATATAAATATTATATTAAAGTCATAGAGAGCATGAGAGATAGAAATAATGGAGTAAGACACATTTCATGGTAGCATGCTCACCTCCTGGATGGCCATGATCTTACTGGCCAGGTCTGCGCACAGCGTGGGCCGAGGGGAGGTGGGGCAGGGACCCGGCAGGATGCTCAAGGGCCTGGCAGGAGGCTGGAAGACCCCGCTTATTGCTAACCAAGGGTTTTATCTACTTAGGGGGGCATGATTCCACACGTCACAGGAAGGGGCAGTACAATAGGCATACACATTATAGGGAGGCGATGAGCTAGGGCTGTACACATGATAGGAAGGGGAGGAACTAGAAGTATACATGTGACAAGAAGGGCGGACTCTAGATTCATGATGGCGGCCTAACCTTGGCCACCCTTGGGTGGGCTTGACCTCTCTGGGGTCTGCTACAAGGAAACAGTCAACTACTATCCTTATCAGAAGGGAGTGGGTCCTACTTGTTGTGGGATAAGCAGTGGTGACTGCTTGCTCTAGATGGCTGATAGCTCTTAAGGAGAATAACCCCTGATCTACTTCTGATGACCTCCAAGTGTATAGCCATTCGCAAGCAACTAAGTTTGGCATATATTTGGGTGAGACCACTTGGGAGAAATCCTTCTGTTTCCCACACTATACCCTCTCTACTTAGACTCCTTCTCCCTACACGGGGCCTCCTGGTACCTCTACCACTGAGTTCACAAGGTTGGGAATAATAGAAATAACTGGGTTACTTCTAACTGACTGAGTTTTGAGATTGTAAACAATGAGGAAAGAAAGGAGAGAGTGGAGCATTTTTATCTAACAAGTAGTGAGGGAAAGAGAACACAAAACTCTGGGCCAGGCGCGAGCGAGAGCCTCTGCCCAGAGACAGGCAGGTATGGGAGGAGAGGACATTGACGTGTCCTGTGACGGATTTTCAAACCCGCTGACCAGGACAGAGAGAAGGAGTGTGTAAACTGTACAGAGAAGCACCTAAGGGGCCTGGGTACCAATGAAGGAGCCCCTGGTGGCTTACCAAAACGTCGGCAGTTCAAAACCACCAGCTTCTCTGCAGGAAAAAGATGAGGCAGCTTGCTTCCATGAAGATTGCCACCTCAGAGGCCCCATGCAGCAATTCTACTTTGTCCTGTCAGCTGCTATGAGTCAGAAGTGACCCGATGGCAGTAAGTTTTTGGGTAAAAACCAGTAGAAAGCAGAGATAATGTTGAGGAAGAGGGTTTTAGGATGGCAGAGGTGCTCAAGTGCCGCAAAAGAGCCAAGAGAAACAAGAAGAGAATCAATGACATTTTGACAGTGCTTGTAACAGGACTTCATGCTGGGTTGAACCAGCTCCGTCAAAGCAGAACCGGAAGAAACTTGAGTTTTAAAACTTGAGGTGAACAAGAACAATAAACAGAATGGGAACCAGTTACAGGTTGAAACAGTGGAATGGGAGAGCCAAATGAGACACAGTGAGCCTTTCAGGAGCCTGATGCAGGAGAGTGGATGACTGGTGAAACTTCAGAGAGTGACAGTTCATGCCGGTATGATGCTGCTGAGCCGGCCACTGCTGTCCTGCCACTGCTGTTCCCTCTGCAGGCGAGAGATTTGTGTGCAAAGGATGCAAACGCTGCCTTAAGGGGGGGAGGGAGGGAGCCTGTTTCTTTCTAGCAGTGCTGTGACTCCTAATTTATCCCATTCTGGTTATTGGTGTAGTTCAGTCTAGTTTACAAAGTTGGCATCACTCTGGTGTTCCTTCCTTGGCCATGCTTAGCCCTGGTTTTCAGACCTGGTGTCACCTTTGGGAGCTGTCGTTCTTTTCATTCCGTCTTTGGAGAAACGTGTCAGTTTCCCCTCGTGGTTCCATACAGATTCTGTTCTTCCTGCCTGTTGGGAATCCCAAACTACAACCTTAGCCATTTTGCGTGCATAGTAATTTTCAAGCAGAAGTAGGAAGCGAAGAGCAGCTCCTAGGGTTTCCTGCTCACTCCCGGGATGCAGGGTGCTTCCTAGATTGTCATATCCTGTGGAAGCCGTTTAACCGAAAATCATTAACTGGAGTAGGAGCTTCCCCTTTGTAAGGGATAGAACCCAGGGTACACTTGGAAAGATTATGCTTGTTGTTAAGTAAATGAATTATCTGTCTTCTACTTCCTAGCTCTAATGCCCCCCTTTTTTCCTGGTTCTTTTCCTCTAAATAGGTAACTGCAAATGACCTTCAAGAAAACATCACAAAATTAAACAATGGGATGGCTTTTATGATCAAGCACTCCCAGAAGCTTTTTAAGGTAGGTGAGGGGTAGGATTGGGGTAGGAACAGGACAAGAAAATGGAGCAAAGTGGGGCTGGAAGACATCGAGACCCCAGAGGGACTGTCTGGGACCAAACCCAGGGAGCACCCCAGGTGGGGGAGAATAGGAGGGTACCTGAGACTGCCCTTTGGGTCACTGAGCCCACACTTTTTCCTGAGAGGTAGGTAGCACCTGTTGGCAGCCGAATAGTTTTATCCGTGTGCTTCCTACCAGAAGAAATTTGAGGGTCTGCCTCTTCATTTTGTATTCCTATCCCGTTCAGTCCAAATGGGCAGTGCTTTTGCTGAAATAACTTTCTTAAGAACTCGTCAGGGGGTCTTCTGCGGATTTCAGTAGGATTCATTCCATTAGGCAAAAGGCACACATACATAGCTCTTTGGAAGAGAAGCCCTTCTCTGCTTGAGCTCCTCTGAGAGAGCTGTGATGTTACATGGCAACAAGTTGCCTCTGATTCAGCAGCGACCTCACGGGCAGGCTTTCCCTGGTGCTGCATCATCCGTGTGCTGGTGGGCTGGTGGGCGTCGTCCCTCAGCACTGTGTGAAACATGGTCTGTTGTGAGCCATGAGGTTTCCATAGGCTTGTTTTTTGAAGTAGTTTCGTCTTAGTCTAGAAGCGCCCCTGAAACCTCTCCACTCTGGGCGCTCCTGTGGCATTGAAATACCAGTGACTTTTAGCCTCATAGCCACCCATAGCCGCTATGATAAGACAGACTGACAGCGGGGTGGGGCGGTGGACATGGCTGCGAGGCACATGTTTGGACTCTTCAGAGGGCCCTTTGTGTGATCGCGTACTCTGACCTTTTGGGCTTTCTAGGGCGGGAGTGGAGTTTGTCCAGTGACATTCTTGGCCTTTTCTGTGGAACATGTTTTTCTTGTAGTGACTCTCATAATCGTATCCTCTTTTGCCCTCTGGAGAGGGGGAACAACATCGGAATCATCCTGTCTCCCTTCTTTTCTGCTTACCAGTTCTTCCCTCAATTTCTCCCTCTCCTCTTCCACTGTAGCAGCTTGATTCTTCAAGCACAGCAGGGTGAATCTGTCTAGTATGTGCCACCAAATCAGGGCAGCATATATATTACATATTAATCAAATTGTGACAGCTCATTACCTTACTGTGTAATGTAACCCAATTACAAGAATGACATTCAGTGGCAGTATTCTGTTGGTTAGAAGCAAGTCCCACTCCCACTCTGTGGGAGAAGGGGGCCATATGAGGGGGAGTATGGGGTTATCATAGGGTCTACCCATTATAGGATGGGTTAGAGAGTTTAGAGAATTTAGAAATAAAGGAGGAGAATCTTTGGCTTCACAGGTTGGAAACCAAGGGTCAGAGATGCATTCAGAGCTAAGGTGCCTAGGTCAAAGGCCAGAGATGATGGTCAATGTGAGATGAGGCGCCAGATAACTGAATTAGATACCAGAAGAAAGAGTCATTTTTAATTACAAGCAAAGATCTTGACCTTCAGGAGTTCTTTACCTATTTCCCATTTAGGGGAAGAACTAATTCCAGATCATGGCTCTATAAGTAGAACTGTGCTCTGGCTTTGGAGAACAAGGCAGTATGAGACAGCAGTTATGAATCAAAATGGGAGACTCCTAAGGGTGGTTGCTAACTGTAGTTCTATCACTTGCATTCTCTTGTTCCCATTGGCTTAGGGTTAACTTATTATAGTTACCACCCACAAGTTAAAGAGAGGTTGGGTTTCAGAGTTCAGCTATTGCATTCCAGTTCTCAGTTCCACGCCACACCACAATTTCCACTGCTGATGGGCTGTGGAGGCCTTTCTCCCGGTCTGCCGTCCAGTGTACACCATTCCCGCGCATCCGCTCGAGCGCGTAGACGTGAAGACCTGGAGCGAAAGCAGCACTCTTCTGATGATTAGGTGACTCCGACCACACTCGGTTTCCTCTTCCTTCCCCTTCTAGGTAGCTTTCCTCTCACACCTCATCTCAGGATTCCCAGCCTCGGGTCACTAAGGGGAACGACCTCTTTGGAGATTTCTTTTGTCCCGAGGTCCCTTCCCTTTGGCTCCTCTCGCCCAGTTCTCCTTGTATTCTGTTCACCCGCTTCACCAATCCAGTATGTTAGTGTCTTTCCTGTGTTCTTCCCCCGCGGAAGTGCTCCAGCCCTGACCTGGGCCTCCTGTTTCACCCTAGACTTGCCTTCCTGTGCTTCGTTGGCATCTTCTCATCTAGGGTGTCCCTGGGTGGGCTCTCACCTTCATCCTTAAATTGTGTTGCCTTCCTCTTGGTTGGTTGTTTGCTTTGTCCCCCTGCACTACCCTGTTCTCTAAAATTCCCCTTAATGCTTTATAGTCCTCTGCTGTGATCAGCCTCTCTGACTCACTCTGGTCTTATCTTTCCCTCAGTAGGCATCATCGTCATTTCCTTTCACTGGGATTTATATATAGTTAAGGCTATTTAAGGTATTCTAGCTTATTTTTTCCCCCTGTGAATTGAAAAATTGCAAAATACATAAGACCCTCAGACAAATTTAATCCCAATTTGTCTCTGGTTCCCTTTCTGGATATCCTTTCAATGCACAGTCTCTCTTTGGTCACTGGCTGGTGTGTGTGTGTGTGTGTGTGTGTGTGTATAAATACAGTTTATAGAAGAAGTGCCATAGGTTCTGGCATAACTTGTGTGGAGGAAATTTCTTTTGGTACTGAGCTCTTCTGTGTAGTTTTCTTATTTAAGAATTACATTATAGGAACTAGAGGAAAGTTATATTTTTCATTGTTGCTACATCACACCCTGACTGGCTCGTCTCCTCCCCGAGACCCCTCTGCAAGGGGATCTCTAGTGGCCTACTAATGGGCTTTGGGTCTCCATTCTGCACTCCCCACTTCATTCACTATGGTAAGATTTTTTGTTCTGATGATGCCTGATACCTGATCCCTTTGACCTGATCAAATGGGCTGATGTGCTTCTTCCATGTGTGCTTTGCTGCTTCTGAGCTAGATGGCCGCTTGTTTACCTTCAAGCCTTTAAGACCCCAGACACTATACCTTTTGATAGCCGGGCACCTCTAGTTCCTAAATGCTTCCTCCCCCACCACTATCATGATTCGAATTCTACCTTGCAAGTCTGGCTAGACCAGAGGATGTACACTGGTACAGATAGGAACTGAAAATACAGGGAATCCAGGGCGGATGATCCCTTCAGGACCAGTGGTGTAAGTGGCTATACTGGGAGCGTAGAGGGAGGGTGGGTTGGAAAGGGGGAACTGATTACAAGGATCTACATGTGACCTCCTCCATGGGGGAGGGACAACAGAAAAGTGGGTGAAGGGAGACATTGGACAAGACATGTCAAAATAATAATTTATAAATTATCAAGGGTTCATGAGGGAGGGGGGAGTGGGGAGGGAGGGGGGAAAATGAGGACCTGATGCCAGGGGCTTAAGTGGAGAGCAAATGTTTTGAGACTGATGAGGGCAATGAATGTACAAATGTGCTTTACACAATTGATGTATGTATGGGTTGTGATGAGTTATATGAGCCCCTAATAAAACGATTAAAAAATAAGTAAATAAACAATAATAAAAAAGAATTACATTATAGTTATAAATTTTTTTACAAGGCCCTTTAGAAATTTTTATTGTGAAAATTTTCAGATGAGAGAAAAATTGGAAGTAGAACTGTGAATACTCATGTAACTCACTCTGATTCAACAGATGTTCCTATTTTGCCAAATTTGCTTTGCCTTCATGTATTCAGACTTTTCTCCCATGAATCATTGAAAGTAAATTGTAGACATCATGACATGCCACCCCTAAATACGGAAACATTTATCTCCTTTGAATTAGGATAGTCCTCTAAAAGTCCTGTTACCATGATCACAAGTAGATAACAAGACTTTTTATGTAATCTTATATGCAGTACTTATCCAAATTTCTGCAGTTATCCCAAGAATGTATTTTATAGTTGTTTTTTTTTCTTCAATATAAGCCAATCAAGGGTTATATGTTGCTTTTGATTATTTGTTATTTTGATCTGCAACAGTCATTCCCCCCCCCCCCATGTCATTGATTCTTTGAAAGTTCAGGGGCTACAGCTGACCTCTGGCTACTACACAAGGGTGAAGGAGCGTCCACCTCTGCACAAACCCAAGGCCGACTGCCATAGGAGACATCAGACCTCTTCCACCTTCCGTACTTGTGCGACCCTATTTGACACCAGCCTTTCCTTCCGTGACACTCTCCTCCCCTGCTGGGCTCCATCGTCCATCGTACTGACCACAAGGAGCTCACAGACAGAACTCACGGTTATGAGGTTTATTAGGAAGTTAGCAGTAATCACAGTCACTGGTCCTCAGTTGTGCTGCTTCTCACATAGCAGTCATGGCTGTCTCTCTTTGGTCACAGGGTCCCTTGGCTTCTTCCTCCAGGGGCCAGGAAGCCAGCCCACTAGATTTATCTAACTGCTTATAACTGTCATTTACCTGGGCCTCTGGCTCCACCCATGTAGTTGCGTAAATTGGAATTTGTCTAGAGGCTTGATTAGACTCAGGTTAGGCATTTTTGGCACAGCTACTTCCTAGGTCATTGTGTGTGTGTGTGTGTGTGTACCATATTACATCACCTGCATTAGCATAAGAAGCTGGTTGTCCCCACTGTTAGCGATGTTAACTTCACTAACTGCTAGATCACTTACTTAAAAAGGTAAATTTTGACAATTAGTATGTATCTAGAGGATAGTTACCATTTTAATGTAATTGTTTTAGCATCCGTTGATAATCCTGTTTGCAATCAATGATAACATTGGGACTTATAAAATAACGAGTTTTTAATTCTGCTGTTTAATCTTTGTTAGCTGTCTTTGAAATAGCGTTCTTTTCTCTTTTTTATGACTATCACTGGAGACTCATGGATTTTGATATATTAAAGTGTTAGTCAAGTCCACATACTAATTTTGATATTCACATTGTTTCAATTTGACCATGATAGCCCTTGGCAACCTGGCTTTTTTTTTTTTTAGTCATTTTATTAGGGGCTCATACAACTCATCATAATCTGTACATACGTCATTTGTGTCCAGCACATTAGTACATGTGTTGACTTCATTATTCTCACAACACCCACTGTCCACTTGAGCCTTGGTGTCAGTTCTTTATTTTTCCCCCTCCCTCCCCGCTCCCCCCTTACCCCGGACCCCTGATAATTTATAAATTATTATTTTAGGCAAGCTGGCTTTTTGACAAATTGCCCTTAGTCATAGGATAGTGCTCTGCTTTCCGGAATAAAGTGCTACCCGTTCTCTTAGGCCTCTGTGTAGCCACAGACCTTGGATCAGCCCTTCCTCCACGGAGCACTAGTTTTGTTGAGTGACGCTAGGTGTTTCCTTTGTTACTGCCGTGTCATTTCTTCTAGGCTCTTTTGGAGCAAAGAATTAAATTAAACAAACAAACCCAAACCCCATTAGTTCATGTTATTATTTCCAATTTGGATTTAACATTATAGGGCTTCTTGATTTCTTTTACTTTTTATCTGTATCTTTTTTTCTTATACTTCAAATTCCAGATTTTAAAAGCCTTCACCTCTGGTGAATTCAAACACACTCACTGCCATTGAGTCGGTGCTGAGTCGTACCCGCCCACAGCACAAGGTAGAGCTGCCCCTGTGGCTTTCTGAGAGTGTAACTCTTTACGGGCGTAGAAAGCTTCCTCTTCCTCCTGCAGAGCATCTGCTGTGTTCGAACTAAGTGCAACCACTGTGCTACCAGGGCAGTAATGTCCTCATACTTACCGTGTACACTCGTGTATAAGCCAACTTCTCAGAACAGTTGTTATGCAGTTTTTGTGGCCAAATTAGGTGCCTCGGCTGATATTTGGGTTGGCTTATGCTCGAGTATATAGGGTACCCTGTATTAGTGAAGGAGCCTTTGGGTGGTATAAGTGGCTAACAGTCTTGGCTGCTAACTGAAGAGGTGGAGGTGGGAATCCACCCAGGGGCACCTGGAGGAGAAGCCTGGAGATGCACCGAAAAGTCAGCCACGGGCAGCTTTTTGAAGTATGGTTCTCTTCTGACCCACAGTGGGTCGCCCTGAGGCAGTCAGCTTGACAACAAATGGTTCACAGTTATGATGTATCAGGATACTTGGGGTGTTTTTTTTTTCTTTTCTTTTTAAAAATCATTTTATTAGGGGCTTGTACAACTCTTATCACAATCCATACATCCATCCATTGTGTCAAGCACATTTGTACATTTGTTGCCATCATCATTCTCAAAACATTTGCTTCTACGTGAGCCCTTGGGATCAGCTCCTCATTTTTTCCCCTCCCTCCTCGCCTCCCTTCCCTCATGAACCCTTGATAATTTATAAATTAATATTTTGTCATGTCTTAACACTGTCCGACCTCTCCCTTCATCCACTTTTCTGTTGTCCATCCCCTAGGGAGGAGGTTATATGTAGATCCTTGTAATCGGTTCCCCCTTTCCACCCCACTCTTCCTCCACCCTTCCGGTATCGCCACACTCACTACTGGTCCTGAGGGGTTCATCTGTCCTGGATTCCCTGTGTTTCCTCTGGTCTCGCCAGATTTGTAAGGTAGAATTGGGATCATGATGGTGCGGGGGAGGAAGCATTAAAGAACTAGAGGAAAGTTGTATGCTTCATTGGTGCTATACTGCACGCTGACTGGCTCGTCTCCTCACTTGGGGTGGTTTTTGTTAAACATAAACATCACGACAAATACCTGTTTTTGCTGCTGTTTGTTCTTTGACCCTATTTGACACCAGCCTCTCCTTCCGTGACACTTTCCTTCCCCGCTGGGTCCCATCATTCATTGCACTGAGAACTCATGATTATGAGGTTTATTAGGGAAGTTAGCAGGTAACCACCGTCTGTCTTCAATATTTAAAATAACCTCTACATGGGTGTCTTTTCACAAAATTTCCTGTGATTTGCTGAGAGATCTTTTTGTTGGCAAGGAAGAGGAAGCTGTGGAACAGGGCACTTAGAGGCTCTTTTACTCTTCTGAACTAATCTACCAGCCACGTCTTTTAGGGTCCTGCACCTTGGGGCCTGGGAGGATTTTAGGCACAACTAACCCCTGGGGCTTGGTTTTCTTTCATGTCTTGTGCAGGCTCCTGCTTACATTCGGGAATGTGCCAGGACGCACTACCTGGGCTCCAGAACTCAAGTATCTAAGGTGAGGAAGAGAGACTGCTTTCCGCCCAACCCGGGAAACTGAGCCATGTTTTTAAAGCAAAGCATGAAATGCAAGTACAGTGCTGTCACTCAGAGTTGTCTAGACATCCGAGATGAGGAAAATGACTGTGAAGAAGAAAGTTAGATGCTGAGATGAAAATGCCCGTGTCAGCAGCCTTCCTGTCTGCTGTCAGTGCTCCACGCTGGGTGGGTCCTCTGTGTGTGAGTGATGGGGCAGGCTGCCTGTGTAAAGGTTTCTCCCCAAGCCTTTATGCACATTCTTGTAGCATATGACAAGCAATCTTTAAATAGCAAATGAGTAGACATTTTACAGTAATGGAAATATTTTTCCCCCAAAAGGTTTATTGGCATATAGTTCAAATATCATACATTTCAATAGTTCATTTATGTCAAGTAGAGATGGACAATGATTACCACAATCAGTTTTAGGACATTTTCTTTATTCTTGTGTAGCAATACATTTTTATGTCATATATTCTCATTTCAGCTTCAGTGGTAAGAGAACATTATCAAATGAGACAGAGATTTGAGACCACATGAATTTAGGGAAATGTGTAATGCTTATTTTGTGTGTGTGTAATGCTTATTAACAAAGATTACATATGACTATTGTCACAAGTGCAAGCATTTTATATAACATCTTAATGTAAATACCTTAAAACTTTTTTTTAATGATGAACATATGCAGAACAAACTCTATCTCTACATATTACACATGTATAATTCAGTCACGTGGGCTAGGTTGTGCACCCATTCATGCTCTCCTTTTCCATGTCGCCTATCACCATTAACATCAACTCAAGGCCCCTGAGCAAAAACAGGCATGAGGTTTTTTTAAAGAATTGTACAATCACGATTTGACAATTTTTGCTTACTCTGTCTCCATTAGAAACTTCAGCTTTTTAAAATTATGTCTGTTTTTCTCCTCTGTTAGTTAGTTTCGCCCTTCATTCAGCAAATATTTGGAATGACCAGGAAAAGAGTTAGTATTTGATCTCTGCTGGCTTAGCTGGACTTTCTCTAGGGTTGGATTTTGTTCTTTTGCCCCTGCCGTGCAGCGCTGCCTCCTGTTAGCCTGTGGAAAGAGCCGGCCAAGAGCCAGTCCACTTTGGCTCCGGGCTGGGCTCCTCACATCAGCGCCACAGGAAGTTCAGCTTAGTGCTCACTTCAAGTTTTCCTTCTTCAAATGGAAATGAGGGCATCTGCCCTCAGGATAGCCAGGAGAATGATGGGAGATTAAAAGATGCTTTGAGAAGTGAATCTTATACAAGAATAACTCTTGGCAAAATTCTCAATGAATTGAGGGTTCTCTGGGCAGGTTATACAGTGGGGCTATTAATGTAACTGATAATTAAGGGGTCCTTTCTCTGATAAAAGCACTGAGATTATTCTTGTTTTAGGGTATAGGAAGATGCCACTGCGCCTTCTTATGCCCCCCTCCTTTTTAAATTTTTGCCTCAATCTTTTGTCAGAGCATGAAAAAACAAACACACACCAAAAAAACCGTGCCAGGATATATTAATTTGCTTTTCTTTGGAATCTCCTTCAGGATGACCTTGACTTGATAACCTCAGGTCATACGAAGTCTGTCCAGCTGGCAAAGTGTCAGAAGCGGGCCCGGGAAGAGTTGTGCTCGCTCCAGGAGGAGACCCAGCAGCGCACGGAAGAGGCCCTGCGAGAGCTGTTCCAGCATGTCCACGACATGCCTGAGTCGGCCAAGAAGAGGCAGCTCATGAGACAGGTGACAGCTGCTTGTGGAATCACGAGGGGATCTTGCTGATCCACATTCATCTCGTTTCCTTTCTGGTTCTTCTTGGCCCCGTGTGGCTCCACCACGAGAGCAGGCTTGCCGGCGGGACCCCTGGGGTCCTGCACCCGATCCATCGGCACCTCTCGAGGAGAGAGGAGCGTGATCTCGGGTTTCTGAGGTTACTCAGGGAGATCCAAGTTTGCTTGGAGCATCCCTAGTTTGTATTGAGGGAGAACCAGTAGTTACCACTATGTTGTTGCAAAGTTTAACCCCTTAGCTTTTCTTGGAAAATAATGTAATCACTCTGAATTTCCAAAAAAAGTTTTGTGGTTTTTTTTGTAAAATGGTAATAGTAGTGGGTACATTAGAGAAACAGATCCACAGAAACTCATATGTATAAGAGAGAGTTTCATCTAAAGGGTACGTACACATCAAGAAAACATCCCAACCCAGTGCTGCCCAAGCCCACAAGTCCACCATTAGCCCATATGTCCAACACCAATCCACAAAGTCCTCTTCCACCTCACAAAACACACACTATGATGCCAACTGCAGGAGGAAAACTGAGTCAGTGAATGTGTAAGCATCTCAGCGCTGGCAGGGGTCTCCACATGGCTACTCTAGCACCCAGGGCTGCACAGGGGTAGATCCATGTGGCTTCTCAGGGGTGTCTTACAGGAAGTGAGCCTTGCCAGCTGAAGCAGGGAACTAGCTAAAGCAGCTGCACCCTGGTCCGACCATCAGAGAGCAAGAGACCCGAGAACTCAAAAGGCGAGGCTCATGGAGCCATTTATCTCTCTGCTCTTGAATTAACCCCATATGTGTTTATCAGCCAGGTTGGCACAATAAACTTTAACTATCTCAATCCACCCCTTGCCAACTTGGCATCTGTACACAATTCTTTAACCTCACAATAGTTAAGTAACACCTATATCTTAATCCTATAGTCTTATAATTATTTTTTTTTTTAATTAGGGGCTCATACGACTCTTATCACAATCCATACATATATCAATTGTGTAAATCACATTTGTAGATTCATTGTCCTCGTCATTCTCAAAACATTTGCTCTCCACTTAAGCCCCCGGCATCAGGTCCTCATTTTTTGCCTTCCCTCCCCGCTCACCCCTCCCTCATGAGCCCTTGATAATTTATAAATTATTATTTTGTCATATCTTGCCCTGTCCGACGTCTCCCTTCACCCACTTTTCTGTTGTCTGTCCCCCAGGGAGGAGGTCACATATAGATCCTTGTAATCAGTTCCCTCTTTCCAACCTACTCTCCCTCTACCCTCCCAGTATCGCCACTCACACCACTGGTCCTGAAGGGATCATCTGCCCTGGTTAATCCTATAATTCTATGAATATGTTCCCACACCTATGGAAGTTTGTAAGCCAACCACTTCATGTCTCTATCCCTCCAATTTTGGGCATCCAGTTTCTATACTGCCCATTTACCTCAACCCAGTACTCTGAGGAGACAATCATTTTTCGGCGTGAAGAATCTTCATTCCAGTTGGAAACTTGTGAAGTCTGCATCCATAAGCAAAGTTATGTCCGGACAGGCCATCCATGATAGGCGAATTAATCAGAAACATTGCAGTTGTTTTGAAGGCTCTGGATACATACGGCTACATAGCTTTCTAGGACGTTTTACCAACGAACACACCTGCCGTTGGATCTCTCGAGGACCTCTGATTGCACTGCTGCCATCCTCAGCAGGAGGGCCGGGTTTGTACTTGTCCTTTTACCTTCCTGAGCTGGGCGGTTTAGAGTTCCTGTCTGCGGAGATAATGAACGCTGAGAGCTTCAGGGTACCTGCATGTGAGAAAATTGTCACTGTGGTGGCCTCCAGTCTGAACCTGGACTGATAATAGTTTACCCAAGTACAACTGAGAAAGTTAACGAGGACGGTCAGAAAGGGCAGGAGAGTAGAAGAGTGGCGTGCTGCTGTATTATTTATTTTAAGTGGGGGGATGAGGGCCAGTCAAAGCAGTGAATGAGACTGAACAGTGCTTGAATCATCGCCTCATCTCAGTATAGGCCTCTAGGAAGCTGTCTTGAGAAGACTCTGATGTATTCTCCTCCGAGGGCAATGCTGGCAAGCCATCCTGAAGACATTCATTTAAAGAGCTGTAGTCACGGTTTTATCCTGTGTAGAATTAAAAACAGACCGAAAATAAAAAAAAGACAAAATGATTCCATATCTTCGATTGTGCTAAAGACTCTTTGGATCAAAGATGCTCTTTGTGGAGAATCTCGATTTCCTTCTGGAGATGTGGGGCGAATTACAAGAGGCCTCCGCGCCTCAGTGTCTCTGTCAGTCCAGTGGGAGCAATAAGTGGTGCATATGAATAACGAAGGCTCCTGAAGTTTGGTGGCTGGCAGCACCCCTTCTGCCTTGGGATTTGCGTGTCCTTCCATGAAGCCATTTGTGCGTACCCTTACTTGGCCTTGGGCTTTTCTGGGCTGAGTCACTGATGGTCACAGTCTGTCTCTTGATGGGAGAATGACACTGTCATGCTCTGCTCTGTTATCTTTCAGTTTAATAAGCAATCTGCGACCCAGACCCCAGGGAGAGAACCTTCCACTCCCCGGGTACAGAAGAGGGCCCGCTCTCGTTCCTTCAGCGGGCTGATTAAGGTAGGGGCACTGCGCTGTTACCGTCCATTGGTTCTCAGGACCTGTCACAGTCTGACTGAAGGAACGGTTCATCCGTGAGGGACTAGGGATAGGAACTGGTCAAGTCAGACTCTGGGATTAGAGTAGAAGCAGTCAAGGCTTTCCATCCTTCCTGGAGCTGAGACCAGGGCCCACGTTACTGACAGTACCCCCGCCTCCGGTCCTCTCTGACTTGCTTTGCGTCCCACGCTCCATTGCGTTAATCTCTGAATTTAGGGAGAAAGGAGGGAGTTGAGTGGTTGTTAGAAAATTAGACTTTCAAGTAGGTGAGTAAGTTTTAGGTCACTCATATTTTATGAAGTTAATATTTTTATCAGTTGTATTCTCTCCCCTGTATCAAACTAATCATCAATCTTATGTTTAAAACAAATACAAACATACTCCTGTGTTTTTGCTGGCTCCACACAAGACATTTTTGAGTCTTCACCAGTGATCGGAACTTGTAGTTGAAGCATATTGCCAGTAGGTGGCAGTAGATACTCTGATTATGGGGTTCAAATGTCTAGCCATTAATAAAGCAAGATTCTGGTTATAACTTGAGTTCAGCACTATTCTGTGTTCTGCTTTTGTTTGTTTTTAACTTCGGTAAAATCTGTAAATCTAACAATCTAGCATTATAATGAGCACTTTGTTTAAAATAAAAAAAATTTGCTCTAAGTAACAAGGAAATACATATATATTAAGCTGCAGATGTTTGGGACTTGCAACTTCATCTAACTCTAATTTTGGCCCTAGTGTAAGGTGACCAGATTTAAAGTGGGACACCATTGACCGGCGGGGGGTGGTGTGGTTCTTGATTAAAAATTTGGTCTATATGGACCAAATAGACCGTTCCCTAGCTTGTCGTGCATTCTTTCCAAAAGTTGGGACTGTCCCGCCAAAAGCGGGATGTTTGGTTACCTTACCCTAGTTATAATTCATGTTAAGTTTAGGATTCATTCTCAGTCCCAGACTGAGAAAAATTAGATTTTTCTTGACATCAAGATTCCTTTGCCTAGAACCTTCTAGAACCCTAGGTATGTGTGTTTAAGCTGTATGTTTGTTTGATAGTGCTGGTAAAAGAAGTGCTTTGGGGTAAACTCTCTTCTTCCTTCTCAATTGGGATAGTCGTTCCCTCTGACTTCTTTGTCACAGAGCTGATTGAAGAAAAGGGAAATTATAGTCAAGTGAATGCATCTTTATGTGTTAGTCAAATAAATGCATTTTTACCTGAAGTTAGGTGGGTGTAATTTTCTGTTGTTAGTGAGTTCTTCTGACAGTGACTGTATTGCTCATTGTTTCTAGAAATGACATATAATAACATCCTCCTGAAAGCTGCACATTTCTCTATGAAGGAGAGACTTTAGATCTTATAAAGGAGCTTGTAATGCTATTAGGAGAAGACATTTTAGGACAAGCTTAAACACAAATGTCTGAAAATTTTATGAAACAAGTGGTTTTTTCTTCATAAATGGAGAGTTTGAGCTAATAATAGATACAGCTTTTTGTTCAGTAGCTTTTGAGGGAGTGACGAAGAGTCTTTTTGAAAACTCAGTGGGTAAATTGCCCACATAAAAAATGTTGAGGTGATGTAATGTCTCGTTATGTTTACTTTTACCACAATTAAATAAAGAGAAACTTCGCACAACCAGCCCTGGGCTCCTGTCATCCGGTTCAGCCCCTCTGAGGTGAGAGCTGACGTTTGGAAGAAGGATAGCACCGGTCTTATTTTTCTAGCATTTCTGCATTTGAACAATTTGATTTTTATCCAGCCGTGATCTCTCTTTGGGCTAGATTTCCCCCTCTGGAATTCATCTTCTGTAAATAATGTATTACATCAGAATACCCTGAATGTTGCTGCTGATACTTATGCTGTAGAGTGTAATGTTCTTATTTTGATATATTCTTTTATGGGAATTCAGATTTATTCTCCAAGGGAAAAAGGGGAAGATAGCTCCAAAGATGGCAGAATTGTCCCTGTCAGCCGTTGCAGCAGGTTACATCAGCTCCTGAGCCCTTCCGAGATGAGAGCACTCTCCGCAGCCTGGCTGAGCGCTCCTCACGGGAAGACCTGCTCTTCTGTGGCTCTGTCCGGGACCCCTGCAGACCCCTCCGCATCTCCAGCCCTGTGTGTGACCCGACGGGGGTGGCATCTTAGAGCGGATCCAGCTGAAGCAGCAGCCTTAGTGGGAGGCAGGGACACGTGGGTTGGGAAGGAAGCTGTTCATAGCTGTGAGAGACCATATATACACCTTTAGGGAAAACTTACCCTGGTGATAACTGGAGTTTGCTGTGGTCTCAGAGGCACACTGTGAGGCCCATATGAGCTAGCTTAAGTCAGCTCGGAAGTAGCTGCTGCCAGTTCAGCGCTTTTGCACACAAGTAACCACATAAAGAAAGGCACTGGTTTCCGTTGTGGTGTTGGCTTGATTTGTTTTTTTTTTTGAGCATGCTCTTGGCCTCCTGTGCAAGATGACCAGGGAAGACCCACAGAGAATTGATCAGAACGCTGAGCTTTCTTTTTAACCCAAAGAAGCTGAGGTTTTGAGGCCAACTGAGCTATGCTATCAAGCCACTAGATGTTTGTGAACAACGTCTTTTCTCTCCTGAAACAGCGGAAGGTGTTGGGGAACCCTGTGATGTCAGAAAAGAAAACCCAGTACCCCACTCCGGAGTCTATGGCCACTGGTGAACTGAGCCGAGCCAGCAAAGAAAATGTGCACTCAGTAAGACCCCGTCCTGCAGGCTGTCTGGAGTCGTGTGGGGATGGGACAGTGGTAGCGATGCTGTCATCGGTTCATGTGTTTCTCTGGGCCGTCCAGCAGTGCCCCTTTCCAATGAATCCTTCCTTTTGCTACCTTCTCCTTGAGTTTTCAGTGGCTTATTGACCCAGTCAGCAAACAATCTTAACTTCCTGATGACCAACCAGTATGAGGGGGCTTCAAAAAGTTTGTGGAAAAAATTCCGTTTTAATTCCATTTCCCTCCATGTTTTTTTAAACCGCTTCCCATAGTGAAGTGTTCTATAGACAAAGTACTGGAGGGGAGGGAGCAGCTCCTTCTAACTGAAGACCCCACAAGACAGGCTGCATTTGAGCCAGGCTTTGGCCCTACATTCCCCGTGGGCTTCTGGGTGTGTTAGGCAATAAAATCAGTTCAGCGAAATAGGCCAGACTCTGCTGCTAGCTGTTTACAGAGAGTCTGAACAAGCAGGTAACCCCTTGGGGGGCGGGTCTGTCTACGGGAGTGACAGGGCTCTGAAGCCTCTGCACGGTTCTCCTTGCAGGTGTCTCCCGGCTCCCCCGCTGTCAGGATGACACCGACAAGATTGAAATGGTGTGAGGGGAAGAAGGAGGGGAAAAAAGGTACGTGTGCTTGTTCTCCCTGGGTGTCGCTCTTCGCTCAGCATAGTGTGATTTCACCAGGTGCACTTGGGAACCGTACAGGAGGGCTCATCCAACAGCCGGCTGTTAAGAGGGCGTCTGGGGGCTCAGCGCTGCCCCAGGGGCCAAGGACAGAGCTGTGGACTCAGGCCCACCTGCTCTCTGTGGCGTTGCACAGACCCGGCACACGTGTGAAAGGCCTTAGGAAGGTTTATTACGCACACTGAGAGCAAGAATACCCTAACCAGTGTAAATCAAGCAGACGCTCTGGGAGTATGCTCACTCACCATGTGCTCCTTTCTGCATAGACTCCAGCCTGTTAGTCAGTGACTCTGTCTAGGTACACAGCTCACGCAGGAGGACACTGGGCACCATATCATACACCACGTTTTCTGAGGTGATGGAAGGCAGGGAGAATTGTCTAAAGCTGGCAGAAAGGCTGCGACTGTGTGATTCCCCGTGAAGAAGCCGTGTGGGTCACGGGGGAGAAGGAGGGTTTGTAGTTGGACCTGATGTGAGCTGCTGACCTGGTCAAGCCATCCCTCCCTCTGAGCCTGTTTCCTCCTCTGAAAACGAGGATGATTGGGTTGCAGATTTTCTATGAGGCTCAACCAAAACACTTTTGGAAATACATGATTATAATCATGAAGGCATTAACAAGTGCCTATAGGAATAAAACCCGACTCAGACTGAGTCTTGTCACCCAGGGCCACTGACCAGATGGAGCCAGCTCTGGGTTGAGAGGCTAGCCTCGCCTCTGCGCCGGGAGCCCGGTTCCTGTTGGGCCTCCTGGGTGGACCGCTGCTCGCTCTCAGAAAATGAGTTGTCAGTAGAGTCTGCGTACTTAGCCTCATTTCAATAGACGATCTGAGTTCTCCTGCCGCCCCCTCACTTCTGCCCTCTAAGCTGAATTGCCTGGTTGAGGCAGCTGCTAGTTTGAAACACCACTGCCCGCTCCAGTCGGAGGACGCCCACAGGGGGCTGCTGTCCTTCGGGGACACGGACAGTTTTGAGACTAATGAAAACTAGATTCTGCCTCCAGGAAAAAACACATAAGAGTTCTATCTAGGACTTTGCATCAACAAGGTCCCCTGTAGGAGGCCACAGGTCAAGAATCCCTGCTGTAAAATGTCTCAGCGGAATACCAAACTGGCTTATTCTCGTCCCTCAATTCTTTCTTCCCAAAGCATAATTGTCAGGAAGAGTTATTATCTCTTGGTTACCCTCAAAAATGAAAGTGACGAAAGACACAATACGGTCGAATCCTTTGAAAATACTCAGGCGTGGCTTTAGCTGATTTGCCTGGAGGGAAAAGACAACACAGAACTCAGACCCTGCCTGCTAATCCCAAGGGTAGCATTTCGAATCCACTAGCTGCTCTTCGGATGAGGCTCTCTGCTCCTGTCCAGGAGACCTATGTAACGCTCTCTGAGTCGAAATTGCCTAGCTGGCCTTGGGTTTGGGTTTTTGTGGTTCAGTTCACACAGTCTTTGCATGTCTTTTCTCTTCTGGATGACCACGATCAGGAGCAGACGTAATATGGTTTTGGCCTCCTGTCTCCTTTTTCCTCAGCCCCCCAATAATGCTAGTGCCGTGTACCCAAGCAGGCACTTAGTACGCACTGGTTGCGGAGAGGGGTGATCGGCCTAGGTCCCAGCCCCATCTCTGCCGCTGTTGGATAGCTCTTTGTCTTAGGGCAAGCCAACTCTTGCCCTTCAGTTCTTCATCTGCAACGTGGCAGACTTCCCAGGCGTGGTGAGGAGAAATGAGCTAGCTCGTCCACAGCCCTGGACACAAATATGCATTTCAGAAGTGAGAGCTGCTGTCGTCACTGAGGTGACGGAGTGAACGAGTTGGGATCCGAGTTGGGATCCGGTGGCTGTGGACGAGGTCATGGTCACACGGTCAGTCATCGTGCTGCTGAGCGGCTGAGGCTGACTCATCACGCCCTGTGGAACAGGGCTTCCACAGCGGTACGTCTTTCTCTCATGGAGTGGCGGATGGGTTTGAACCACTGACTTTTGGTTCGCAGCTGAGCGCTTTAACCACTGTGCCACACAGTCAGAGGGACTTGAACTCTCTGACCGTCACAGATCGGCATAGATTCGGTGTACATTCTCTAGCTTTCAGGTCGGATGTTTGCAAAAAGGACTGCTCATCAGTGTGCTTAAAGCTCTTGTTTCTCTTTCACCCTAGGGTTCCTCTGAAGGAGCCAGAGCCCCCGTGCCCCCAGGACTGTCCTTCGGCAGTGCCCAGACGTGCAACCGGCTTGCTGCACTCTGAATGGTGTGAAAGCAACTAATACCTGACCGATACCTCTAATCCCACTCACTGGATGTTTGCAGACTGTGCCTTCTGAACAAGTGCTATGAAATAATAACGTTTATTTTATGTCTTAATATTATGGGGAACCACTAACCAGCCAGGCAGCACACCCAGCAAGTCAAATGGGCAGTCAGGTGGGCACTGCCAGCCAGGGTGGTGTTGAGGCAGTCTGTGTTTCAAACTATGGGACCCGTGTTTACTAGCAGGGATGCTTTTTAAGTATGCCAATTCTAGTGGACCGATGTTATTTTTAAACGATATTTTGGGCTTTTCTCTGTTTTGATAATGTTGGGGGAGTATTTTGGTTGTTATTTTACTTTTGTTCATTGTTGTATTTCTTTGTTCTAAAAGCCATATCTATGGGGAAGTGGGTAGATGGACTAAAGGTCTCTGCTGTCTCTGAGTCTGAGTTCACCTGAGCGCTGAGAAAGCTCCTTGTTTGGTGAGGTGTATCCAGCACTATCTTATTTGTGTCCAAAGAATGTATAGCTTACCTAGAAATTGTCAGCTGCTTCTTGGGTCTGAGATTGAAGGGCATTGAACCAGCCATGTTGCAGAAGAGTTCAGAACGATACAAGGGTTTTAACAAGTTTTGATGATTAAACTGTTTGCTCTCTCCCTTCCCCTCCCTGTCCCCTTGGTTAGCCCCACTCCCCTCCTTCCTGCCTTGCTCAGCCGTGCCAAGCTAATTGTGTGGTGGCTGAACTGGTTTCCTTGGTTCAGCTTCCTGTGGCCTGAAACATCTCTGGTGCCAGTGTAGTCCCCCTGACCTTTGTTCACACACAGTCCCCGAGAGCCTGACAGAGGTGTGCTGGCACTTTGTAGATTGTGGGATACTCTGGCGGGTGGGGCTGGCCGGCCGGCCCTCTGTGGGAATGACTCTGAGTGGAATTCTGTTCCAGCCTTCCCAGGACCAGGTGTGCAGGCTAGACCGTCTCCACGAGCCAGCCGGAGCCAGAGGAGGGGAGGGCAGGGCGCTGCTGTCTCTGATGGCTGACAGGAGCTGACCAGGGGCTGGTGCTGGCCCGCAGTGCTCAGGAAACGGCCTGTGCCGTCGGAGTGGGTGCGGCTGTGTCTTGGAGGCGGTGCCATCACAGTGTGTGCTGTCGCAGAAACTATCCTGCTCAGACAGCAGCCTAGCAGGTGAGCAGGGTCAGGCGTGTGCCCAGCCCTGTCCAACTGTCCCCAGCTGGCCCGTGCTGTGCTGGAGTGGGGATGGAGGAGGCCGGGGCGGGGTGGCGATGGGCTTCCTGTCTGGGGGCAGCAGCAGTGCTGAAGAACACCGTGCCTGCGGTCTTCCGACTGGGTGCATTGGGGTGTTGCACGGTGAGCTGTGCGGCAGCTGCACAGACATCGCTCTGTCCTTCCCGAACCACCAGCACCGCCTTGTGTGTAGGTTTCTGTTGGACTTTGTCCTCATCAAGAAAAACCCAGAATTCCTTGTGACTTCAACCATTCAAGTCAGGTTTGGGGATCCCCAGATCGAAGGGCATCCACCCGTGACTTGGTACTTCCCGACTTCCTGTCTTCTGGTGTGTTCTCTCCCGGAGGGGGCGGTGCCTCCCTCACGAGGGCCTGGCCCCAGCCAGGGCTGTGGCGTGCTGACCAAGACACCTCCTTATCGGCGAGCTGCTTCTGTGGCTCAGTCTGAGGAGGGAGCTGGGTGCCCTCAGGCCTTCTTGGGATGCTAGTGTTCCAGGAGCAGGGGTGGCGACAGAGATGTTTCCGGCACACACGTGGCTCCATCCAGGTGGCCCCCTGGGACAGTGTGTGTGTGTGTGTGTGTGTGTGTGTGTGTGTGTGTGTTTTGTGGAAGTAACTTATTGCGTGTGATGATCACCCTTGCGTTAAGGGCGTCGTGGGTCATTTTCCTCATGGAGGCTGTGACCCAGCGGGAATGGAAGTTTAAGGAGGAAGCAGCGTAACCACGGGCCGCACAGTACACAGACGTTCTCACCCTGCGGAATCACAGGGCCACTCAAAGATAGGCACCCAATTGTTTGCCACCGCAGGGGACTGCCGCCTCTTGCCACTCAGACTGGTTGCTGGTGCAGTTTTTGAGCCAGGACCTCACAAACATTTTAGTCTTTGTCCGTAAAATGTGGTGTTCTGTTGATTCTCCATGTTGGGACAACCCCTTTGAGAATTCTTCTTTTTCTTTTAAATTCTTCGTTTTCTTCTTCTAAAATGTCACCTTTCCTCCTGGGGTCAGTGGTGATGGGCCTTCCTATGGAGCGCTACAGGGGCAGCCACCTGACTGAGTGGACAGGGCGGTGCTGGCACTGGTTACAACTGGGGAGTTTTGTTGCACTGGGACCGGTGGATCTGGTGGGACACCTCACTTCCTGCTGCAGTAAGCTAGTGGCCCAGGAAATCCTGGTGGGACTTGCGGGCCAGGACCTGCTCACGGAGCAGGTGTTTAACGACTCCCGGCGGAGACTCTCCTTCAACTGTCCCCCTTAGAGGGCAAGGACAGTCAGATGTGACCGGGGTCAGCCTGTGGGAATGGGCTCTGTGGGGGGCTGTTGACCACAGAGATGACAGGGTGACCTGAGGTGGCTGCTCTCTTGGCCCGTGCGGAAGCCACTTGGTCCTCGTCTTAGAGCAGGCCCCTCTCATCCTGGGTGGAGTGTCTCCACCCAGCTCCTACTTGGGACTCTATTCGGTGCGGTTTAGCACATTGCCTCATAGGAGAACCTGTCTGTCGCTGGGACATGCCTCATCTTGGCTGGCCACGGTTAACTGGGGAAGCCGTCTTTGGGATTGGACTTCTTTAGATCTTTCTCCTTACTTTCAACAGGCCCTCACGGCGTTGCTTGAAATTTATGGCTCCCCTTTGAGGCCTTTTAAGTAGAATTCATTTCCGCAGGAGAGAAAGCCTCAGCCGTGCCCTCCTCTGCCCAGAGCTTTTGTGCTAGAGATAGAACTAGCTGGATTCCAACCCAGAGACCAGCACGTGCAGGACTGCCCTAGCATCTGGGGACACTTTGGGTTCCTGAGACCCAGAGGCTTTTAAAGCTGGTGGCAATTTACCCATTCTTAAGCTCACTGTACAAAGCTGGCTTTCTAGGCAGTTAGTGCTGAGATCTTCCCAACAGCATAGAGACGCTCATGGAGGGGCTAGTGAGGAGGTGGAATGCATAATAGCCCGAGTGCTTGGGTTACCATGGAGACAGGAGTGTGTGAGGCCACAGCCATTGAGCACTCCCCCAGACGTGCTGGGGGCCAGCAGAACCTGTCAGGGAAAAACCAACACCGTTTCCTCGCCCCAGAGCCCTTCAGGCCCGTATGTCTCTGAGCCCCATCAACACAAGACGAGGTGCCTTAGTGCTTGCCTTTGAGCACATTCTTGTTGGACTGTATATCGTATAAATGTACATGTAACTGTAAAGCCATGCCATGTGTATTATCTTTTATATATTCATGCAGTATTCTGAAATTAAATTTGTTTTATATCCATGGGCTCTGACTGATCTCTAAGTTCCTCGGTTTAAGGGGTGAGGTGACCCCTTTTTCTGAGGGCGTCCAAAGGCCTCTGTAATGCCAGCTCTGTGGCTGGGCTCGGGGCGAGTCGGGCTTTGGACTAAGAGCAAGTGGGATTGGAACCTGTGGCTGAGTCTAGAACGCTTTGCCCAGATTCATGTTTCTCACATGGTCACTCCTCGTTCCAGGTGATGTCCTCATGCAGGGTAGTGAGGGCTAGTGGCTGGGCAACTCTAGTTAACAAGGCTGTCGTAGCACTCACTGCTGTGCGAACTGAATGATGACCCTGGGCTGCCCAGTCCCCTCTTCTGTGACCAGCGCCTACCAACACCAGTGTCTCGCCAAGCCCTGAGCTGGTTCCCAGATGTAAGCACCTTGCCTGCTGGTTGTTACCGGCAGCGTGGTGTGTCCAGCGCTGTGTGTATGTGGGGGAGGGCATTTCACTCTGGGGGGAGAGATGGTGTGGTTTCCACAAGACTGAGGAGGTCCTTGACCACCACGATACCGAGACCTTCCCACCACGCACCGAGCCTGGCGGGTGGCAAGTGTGTGCTGTATCCTGTTCCTTCTGCCTGCTCTGCCCACGGTACACTTCATAATCAGCAGACTATCGGTGCTGACTTGACTACTTTTGCTAATGAAGGAGTGACTTTGTGTTAGTCTGGGTTGACTAGAGAAACAAATCCAGAGGCACTCGTGTGTAAGAGTGAACTTTATTATCAAAGAGTAATTGTACATTGAGAAAACATCGCAGCCCAGTTCAAGTCTTTAAGTCTGATTTTAGCCCCTGTGTTCGATACCGGTCTATAAATTCCTCTGCAGGCTAGAAGAGGCTCTGGTCTGTGTGGCCCTATTAGCCCTGTGCACTAGTTTCTTCATTGTTTGCTCCAGATAGACACGAGAGTGGTGCCTGCAGGCTTTTAAAACCCACACACCGCTCCCCAAACCAGGGTGCAGTACACTGTCTTCGCACGGACTGTACTGTCCCAGTTGACGAGGCTGGCCTTCGAGACTCGAGAATGAGATTTTGCTTGAATAAGGACCCCAAGCACCATCGGACTAGCCCACAGATGGTGAAATGGACAGAAATGGAGATTTGGAAGGTCAGTGAGCGGCAGTGCAGGGACATGAATCTGTCTCCCTTTTAAAGCCAGCTCTCCAAATGTGCCGTGATATGTTTAGACAGATGTATCCATCCCTGCAACCACTCCAGAGAACTCCATGGCCCCTGCCCTGCCCCAGGCTACCATGGGACCCCTTTCTATGGCTGGAGATGATTTTTGTCGTTACACCCATCTCCCGACCAGTGCTTGCCACGTCCCTTCCCACTTCCTGGCTGCTAGTCACTATTGGAGTTGGTTTGGTGTGGAGGAAGGAGCCCCTCAGCTTTGTGTTTCTGGGCCCAATGGCAGGAAACGATTGGTTCTGGGTGGTGTCAACCCAAGTTCTTGGAGGCAGGGACTCTTCTGTCACAGTCTGGACTCAGTACTTGTCCTCTCACTGCCTGGCACACGGAAGTCTCGTCGCAGACAATGTGCTGAGCCATCAGGGAAGCTGGGTGACTCATATGTGTTGAGTTTGGGGTCCCCATCACTGAGAACACAGGCGATTTGAGGCCGGTGGTCTGATGGATCCACATCACGGCAGGAAGCGGGTCCAGTCCCTTGCTTCTGCCCCGTGACACAGTGCAGTGAGTGACGGTGGGTTGTGTAGGGCATGCGCTAGAGCTGAGTGCTATGGAAACAGGAGGGGGCACAGGGCCCATTCTGGAGGTTTGGGGAAGGGAAGGGTGGATAGAAGTAGCTTAAGGATGGAAGTTTTGGACAGGGGCCTCGGAAGGTAAGGTGCAGTCTGATGAGAGACCACGAGGAATCCGAGGGAGCTGCTCTGAGCAAGGCATGAAACAAACCCAGCCAGCGGCCGAAGAAGCTGTCACTATGAGAAATAGGCTGGTTGAGTGGTCACGAGTGCCCATAGGTGTCCACACACATTCGTAGCCTGGGCAGCCTGATTTTCTGCCTCCTGGGGACAGAAATGGAAACAAATGGATCATTGGCATAACACATTGTTGGCATGGTCCTGCAGGCACGAAGAAAGGCAGTCCCAATGCAGAAGCAAAACCAGTCATCGAGCTCTTCCGGACTGTGTTCATCTGGGTTGACTGGAGAAACAAATCCAGAGACACTCATTTGTGTGTAAGAGAGAGTTTGATATCCAAGAGTAATTGTATATTAAGAAGACATTCCGGCCCAGTGCAGATCAAATCCCTAAGTTCTATATTAATTGGCCCATATGTCCCATACTAGTCCATCAGTTCTTCTACAGACTCACGCAGCATCTGCAATGATGCCGGAACAGGAAGATCACAGGCCAGTGGGTGAAACGCCTTGTGGAAGCATCTCATGCTGGCGCAGCTGTCCAGGGGCTCCTCCAGCTCCAGGGCTCTGGCTCCATCAGCATAGCTTCTGGTGGCTTGTCAACAGAATGTGAAGCAGAGAGAGTGCGTGTCCTGCCTCCAGGGAGGAAGACGGGTTCCCAGAATCCTCAGGAGAAGGCCATGCCCACACAGAAGCATCACTGGCGATGGCCTGATTGACAGGCTAGACTCCAACCCTTCGCTCAAGTTGACGGGAGATGATGTAACTGCCACAGGACTCCTAGCAACCCTGCAAAAGGCTTCAAGACTAAATCTTTGCAGGAGCACACAGCCTCACCTTTCTTCTGTTGACGAGCTGGTGGACCTTTGATCTTGCAGTTAGTAGCCCGATGCCTAACCTGCAGCACCACAAGTCTATTGTTGGTATTAGTGAGAACCCCAGAAAACACCAAGGATTTTGAGCCTAACTAGAACTTGGCTGGTGGAAGCATTCTATTGGTTAGCTGACTTTGGAAAACTGGCAGTATCTCCCAAATATGAACATCTATGCTGTAGCCCAGTGATCCCTTCTGTGCCCATTACAAGCAGACAGACAGAACCACTGCCATCCAGTCAATTCGACTAGTAATGCTGTAGGAGCGGTGAAACTGCCTCTGGGGGTTTCCAAGACTGAATCTTTATGGGAGTAGAAAGCTTCATCTTCCTCCCACAGTGGCTGGTGGTTTCGAACTGCCAGGCTCGCAGTTAGCAGTCCAACATGTTACTCAGTACTCCACCAGGCCCCTTACCCAACCGAAAACATGTATCAAAAGTCCCGAGTTGCCCAGTCAGGAACCTCTGATCTGTTCTCCACATTCGTGACCAACATCTGGCATTCAGCCCAACACTGAACCACCACACCTCCAGAACTCAAGCTGATTGTCACTGAGTCAGTGCCCAAGAGGACAAGGTGGAACTGCCCCTGTGGGTGTCTCAGACCAGCTCTAGGGGTGGGGTGGAAAGCTCTGCCTTTCTCCTGAGGAGTGGCTGGTTTTGAACTGCTGACCTTGTGGTTAGCAGCCAAATTCGTAACCACTACACTACACAAGGCCCTTGAGATTCGTCTGTGGAGCTTGTCAAGACGTTGCTGAATTGTACTTACCCCTGACATTGCTGAGGCTCAAGAACGTGTGTGTAAGTTACCAGACCATGGGATATGCAGGGAGGCTCTGATTGGAGGTCAGCAGCTGGGCAAGCAGTTTGTGCCCCACTCCTGGGTGTGGGAAACGAGGCTGGATGGGCAGGAAGGTGGTCACTGTGGGGAGGGGAGCTGTGTGGCCTGGTTGGCAGTAGGCAGAAAGCAGAGGGGTGTGACCTGGCCCGGAGAAGCTGGCGTGGTGCCTGGGGCACAGTCTACCGTGGAGCTGCGTCCGTCATTGGGGAGCTGATTATACCTGGGCCGAATAAAGCTAGGGGGAAAGGAGTACCCCTAACCCCCCCTGTCGGCACCTGGGAGGCCTGGCACCAGCTCCAGTGTTCCTGCCACGCTTGCCAGCTCTGAACGGAAGAGAAGCAGCCACCGCAGCGCAAGGCCACGAGCGTCGCTACGGTTGGAAGAGACTCCATGGTTTTGGTGTCTAATTTCGCCGAATCTTTGTAAACCTGGGCTGTGGGTGTTGTGAATCCATTTTAAGGATGAGGAAACAAGACCCTGAGAGTTGAAGGCACTTGCGCATCGGTATCTAGGCAGACCTCGGATGGCATCAACCCTCTTGACTGATTTGTCTCATTAAACCTCGGGGGAGGGGTGGATGTTATTACCACTTGAACCACCATAAACCAACATCTCAGTATACACAATTGTGGAAGAGATCTTTTTTTCCTTAAAAAAATGTTTTTATTAAGTACTTTTAGTGGGGGCTCTGACATCTCACATTTGTACATAGGCTGCCAACCTCATTTTCAAAGCATTTTCTTTCTACTTGAGCCCTTGATATAATCTCATTTCTCCCCTCCCTCCTCCAGAAAGAGATCTTTTAGAGCATTTTCTTTGGTATGAAGGCTTCAAAATGCAGTGTGTGTTTTATACGTAGAGCACAGCTTAACATGGACAAGCCAGGTCCCATTTCAAGTGTTTCATGGCCACATGTTGCCGTCCTTCCACAGAATGGTCAAGCACACGTGCCTGTTGTGACCACTTCGGCCACTAGATGGTGCAGGTGACCTTCCCAGAGGTAATGCATCAGGCATTGGAAGAGGACGGATGGGTGGGTCCTTTTCCTAAGTCTCCCTGTTTGTTGATTTCTTTATTTGAATTGTAGCCCAAAGCGAGCTCAAAGGAGTCCAACTCATAACCAGATTGCTCTAACACTAAGCATACGTAGCTGGGCCCTCGTATGCCAGAGTTTTCAGGATGAATGCACTCAGAATGCATCCTTTATGAAATGATAAATAAATAATTCAAGTGCTAACTTCAGGTTGACACACATTAAAGGTTAATTGTTCAGGACAGAGATGGACAAAAGAGGTTTTCTGTGAGGAGTATTTTCTCATGGTTTAGAAGGACAGCGGCGTGGTGACAGTCAGAAAAAGAGAAGCAACTTTGAGTGGATTAATTAAA